TTTTTTTTTTTTTTTTTAATTTTGAGACAGAATCTTGCTAAATCGCTAAATTGCCCAGGCCAGGATCAAACTTGAAATCTGCCTGCCTCAGCCTCCCCCAGAGTGTGGAATTATAGACATGTACCACCAGGCCTAGCTTTTTATGCTCCTTTTATAGAAGCATTTCCTTGTTTTAGTTCTGTGTTCCACTCTAAACATGTCCTTATTATATAAACTACTCTCATTTTTCCATGGGAAATAGTAACTTTAAAAAACTTTTTAATTTCTTTCACTGTCCTGGGGATTGAGCAGGGCCTCATATATGCTAGGGCAGTACAGTGCCACTGAGCTACACCTCCAGCCCTAGAAAAGGTGGATTACTTTTGACTCTGGTGACTTGTGTAGTTATACAGGAAAAAATTGAAGATGGTTCTAAAAGAGCTTTTGCTGGGTGAATTGATGCCACCTGGTTATCCTAAAGTAGTTTCACTTTTATCTAGGGTTCTGCATCTTTAGTCACTGCTAGACTTCTCGATACTTAAGCTGCTGTCTCATTTCTGTTTTGTGTTACTGGACATTGAATCCAGGGGAGCTCTGTCATTCAGCCACATCTTCAGCCCATTTATTGATTGATTGATTGATTGATTGATTGATTGATTGATTGATTGTACCGGGGATCGAACTTGGGACCTTGTGCTTGCGAGGCAGGCGCCGGAACCACTGAGCTAAATCCCCGGCCCTTTCAGCCCTTTTATTTTGAGATGGGCTCCCAAAGTTGCCTAGGCTGACTTTGAATTTGCAATCCTCCTGCCTCAGCTTCTGAGTAGCTGGGATTACATTCCTATATCACCATGCCCAGTTTCATTTCTTTTTTTTTTTTGGTACCGGGGATCGAACTCAGGACCTTGTGCTTTCAAGGCAGGTGGCACCACTGAGCTAAATCCCTGGCCTGTCATTTCTATTTTGACATTAACAACAAAATGAGGATAAATAATTACCAAGCTAGTTGTTTTCTATTACCCTACTCTTTGTCATGCTTACAATAATAATATTGTTTCAGAATGTATTTGCTTAGTCTTGTTTTCAGTCATTTTTCTTTGTTGTTTTTTTGTTGGTTTGTTTGTTTTTGTTTTTGTTTTTTTTTGGTACCAGGGATCGAACTCAGTTTGTTGTTTTTAATATTTAGCTTTTGTCCCTTTGCAGACTTACAGTGAATTAATTTTGTATTTCCCTCATTCGGTTCTGACTGCTCCTTTTTTTTTTTTGGTATTGGGGGATCCAACTTGGGACCTTCCACACATGCAGTGGTATCACTGAGCTAAATCCCCGCCCCACCCCGCCACCCCCTTTATTTTTTGAGACAGGGTCTCACTGTGTAGTTCAGGCTGACCTTGAACTCACTCTGTTAGCCCCAGGCTGGCCTCATACTGAATCCTCCTACCTCAGCCTCCCAAGTGCTAGGATTACAGGCATGTGCCACCATGCCTAGCCTGACTGCTGCTTTTGTTTTGTTTTTGCAGTACTGGGGTTTGAACCCTGAGCCTTTTGCAATGAGCTTCATTTCAAGAGCTATTTATTTATTTACTCAGGGGTTTGCTAGGTTACTAAGTTAATTATCCAGGCTGGGTTTGAAATTGTTTTTCTTTTTTTCTTGTTTTTTGGGAGTGAGTACTGGGGATCTAACTCAGGACTTTGTGCTTGTGAGGCAGGTGTGGCGCCACTGAGCTAAATCCAGGGTTTGAAGTTACGATCCATCTGCCTTAGCCTCCTGAAAGCTGAGTAGCTTGGTTTACAGGAATGCCCAGTATAGCTCAGCTGCCTTTTCTTCTTTTTATTTCCTTTGCAGTCCTGGAGATTGAATCCAGGGAGCATTGAGCTATATCCTCTGCCTCCCAACCCCCTTTTTAAACTTTGTTTTGAGCATAGGCTTGCTAAGTTGCCCAGATTGGCTTCAATCCTCCCACTTTAGCATCCCAAGAAGCTGGCATTTCAGGTGTGCACCACCATACCCAGCCTTCTTTTCCTTTTAAATTAACCAGCCCTATATCTGTTCCCTTCAGCCTGATACATGTACTTTGTCTGGTGGTGCTGAGGATTGAACCCATGCACTTCATACATGTTATATGAGTGCTTTACCACTGAGCTCCATCCCTAGCACCCCACCCTGATGTATAAGATTTTTACCACTATTTTCATCTCTGTGTCCAGCTAGCTTTAAGAAAATTGGCAGATTAAAAACATGAATTTATAACAGATCAGTTGAAAGTAGGGGAGTTACTTACATTTCAAAGAGAGCATGAATTTTCAGCTGAGCTAGGGAGTTAGTTCAGTGCATTGTGCATGCCTTGCAAGCACAAGATCCTGAGTTTAATCCCCAGTTCTGGGGAAAAAAACTCATGAATTTTCTAATATTTATTATTTACTAGGTTAATAATAAAATATAAAGTGCTAGGGCTGGGAATTTAGCTCAGTGGTTCTGCTGCTTGCCTCAAAAGCACAAGGTCCCAAGTTTGATACCTGGTCCCCCCCCCAAAAAAATGAAAATAAAAACATAAATTTAATATTTAAAAAATATATAAAGTGCTGCCAGGGGTGGTGGCACATGCCTGTAATTGCCTGTAATCCCAGCACTAGGGAGGCTGAGCTAGGAGTATTCCTGGGAGTTTGAGGCCAGCCTGGACTACAGTGAGTTCAAAGCCAGTCTGGACTACGTAGTTGAGACCCTGTCTTAAAAAACCAACCAATCAGGCCAGGGATTTAGTCCTGAGTTCGATCCCCTGCTACCAAAGGGGGAAAAAAACCCAAACAACCAACCAACCAACAAAACAAAAGTATATATAAATAAAGCAGTGTGTGGGCTGGGAATGTATAACAGTGGTAGAGCACTTGCCTAGCATCCATGCGGCTCTGGGTTTGATTCCCAAAAATAAAAAACAATAAAATCCAAAAAGTAACGCAATAGTGAAGATTATTTTTTCATTCCCATCATCTCCACACAATTTCATTTTGGTCTTCATATCTACATTGTATCCATTCAAAATGTTTTTGCCATTTTAATTACAGTATATATTAATTTTTCCCATTTTTTCATATACCTATAAGGTTTGTTTATTACCCTTTAAATACTGCCTAGGCTGGGCCTGGGTACATTTGTAATTCCAGTACCCACTGTAAGAGACTGAGACAGGATGATCTTAAGTTTGAGTCCAGCTTGTGCAGTTTAGGGAGACCATATTTCAATTGTCTCAAGAAATGGGTTGAGGAATGTAGCTGAGTGTGAAGACCCTGGGTTCAGTCCACAGTAGTGAGGAAAAAAGTTCCATAATAACTTTTATTTATTATCTATTTTTGGTACCAGGGATCGAACTCGGGACCTTGCACTTGCGAGGCAGGCGCTGGAACCACTGAGCTAAATTCCTGGCCCCATAATAACTTTTATTTATTTATTAATTTTTTTTCTTTGGTACTGGGGATCGAACTCAGGGTCCTTGTGCTTGCGGGGCAGGCGGCAGAACCACTGAGCTAAATCCCCAGCCCCATAATAACTTTTAAATGGTGTGAAATTTAAAAAAATTTTTTTTGGTGTACTCAGTGTGTGGTTATTTTGTTTGTTTGTTTGTTTTCTGGGTCTTTTTTTTGGTACCTGGGATCAAACTCAGGACCCAGGTGCTTGCCAGGCAGGCGCTATTCTGCTGAGCTAAATCCCTGGCTCAGTATGTGATTGTTAAGCTGAAGAGTATAGATATTTTTTTTTGGTACTGGAGATCGAACTCAGGACCTTGTGCTTGCGATGCAGGCATGGTGCTGCTGAGCTACATCCCCAACGAGTATAGATGTTTTTATGGCTCTAGGTATAGATCTTGTATAGGTAGATGTAAATACATATACATTTTCCTAAACAGAATAGTTGATGTGCAAAAATACATTATGTTTTAAGGATTATTTTATATTTTTACTGAAATATTGTTTTTGGTCACAATTCTTTGTTGATTAGTCACTGCACAGGGTGTTAGGAATACCACAGGACTTGGAGCAGCTCCACTTCCTCTAGCGCAGGGATGTGAGTGCTGCTATCCTTCGTGCGTTACATTCTGGCTGGGATTGTTTTGTTTTGTTTCAGTGATGTTGGGTATTGAAATCTATCCCTTTTTATTTTTTTTAACTTTGAGACAGAGTCTTGCTAAGTTGCCCAAGCTGGGCTCGAGCTTGGGATCCTTCTGCTTCAGCCTCCCAGTGTGCTGGGATTACAGGTGTGCTCCACGGTGCCCAGTTGATGGTGGCTGATTGTGTTGTCTGTGGATATGTAGGGATTTGTGTCCCTGAATCTCAAATATTTGTAAGCTTATTTCTTCTGGACTTTCAATTTTTATTTTTTATAAAAATTTTCAATTTTTACTTTTTATTTTTATTTATTTTTTGGGTACCGGGGATTGAACTTGGGACCTTGCACTTGCGAGGCAGGTGGTGGAACCACTGAGCTAAAATAAGCTAAGCTTATTTTCTCCTTGTGTGGCCAGGCTACACCTGAATGTAGCAGCATGTAGTTTAGCCTGTTTTCAAGGGTTCCTAAAGGAAACTCCTGAAGGAGGATGGGTTCAAGTCTGCACCTACAAGTCCTTCCTCATGCAAGGGCTATTACTAGAGGCTTGAAGGTTAAAATTATGTCTCATTCATTTGAAATGTCTTGCTGCCCAGAAATAGGGGGTTATATTTTTACACTGTTCATAATAGCTAATAAATTGAGTTTCCTGTAAGTGGCTAATGCTGTTTTTTACTTGGAAAAGGTACTGTACCCCACGCTACAGTGAGTTTGAAGAGCTTGAACGGAAGTACTGGAAGAACCTCACGTTTAATCCTCCAATTTATGGTGCAGATGTGAATGGTACTCTCTACGAAAAGGTGGGGTTCTCTTGAAACCCTCTGGGTTGTACTTTTGAAATTTTATAATGCCATACCCCCTTTCCCCCCCAAGCACTTGGTAGGCTTTTAAAGTCTTTGTGGTGAATGGGTGGAGGAACAAATGAATGATCTATCACTGACTGATATGCTTTACTGACTTAATTTTGGTATTTTTGCATGTGACTGAACTTTATTTCTCCCACTTTGCATGTGAATTGGATGTGTGGTGTTCTTTTCAAGGGCCGCTAGCATAGTCTGTGGGTGGTAGGTGATGAGTTCTTGAAAGGGTGGGCTGGAAGGTGAAATGATGGGGGAGAAGCTGTGTGGTATCTGTAGAAAAAAAGATCACTGACTAATCTAATGAAAGGGTTGTGTATTTAAGAAGAGAAACATATTTAGATTTTCAGAACCCTCATGCAGGATTCTGTAGCAAAAGCTATTTTAACTAGTTGCATTGGCTTGGCTTGGAATTCTTTTCAGCCTGAAGAACTGCCTCAGAATGGTAGAAAGGAAATAGTTGGGACTGCCTTTGCATGATCAAACAATCAGTTTGGAATTATCACTCAGAATAATTTTAATGTTTTATAAATTATTGGAAGGAAAGAATTTATTTTAGTTTGAGACAGAGTCTCGCTGTGTAGCCTAGGCTGGCCTCAAACTTGCAGTTACCTTTTTGCCTCACCCTCCAAAGTGTTGGGATTACAGCCCTGCAGCACTATGCCTGGCTGAAAGAATTTATTTAAAAAATGAATTTGAGGGGTCCGGGAATTTAGCTCAGTGGTTCTGCCTCCTGCCTCCCAAGCGCAAGGAACCAAGTTCAATCCCTGGTACAAAAAAAAAAAAAAAAAAAAAGAATTTGAAGTTTGTGACAGTTTTGGGGGATGGTGGGAGTGAAGCTTCTAGGGATAAATGTTGGGAAGATGCTGTGAGGATCCTCATATAGGGATAAGCAAAAGGCACGGTAATCCAGGACCTACTCATAAAATGGGGCTCCTGTCTGGCCATCATAAGTCAGGGAAAGGACATTGTCAACTTTGAAGAATTAGAGCCAAAAAAGCCACATGATTAATATAGCTAATTCCCATGTTTCCTTTATTAAAATTTAAAAAAATATTTTAAATGGTCTAAGATTTCTATTTGGGTTAAGTTTCTTTAGATTCCATTCAAAGCCTTCCTCCTGGAGTTTAGAACAAGCGATTGGCACCTCTTATTCATCTTCCCTTACACTGGTGTTTGTTCAAGGTAGTATTTTCCCTTTTGAGACATAGCAGATCCTTTCCGGTTGTAGCTGTGAAAGTGACCAGGGATGCTGTGTTGTCTGGGGTGACAGCTCACCTGAGCCCTTCTGTGTGACTTGTAGGTTTCAGAGCCTCAGTTTAGCTTAAAATGTAACCTGCTCTGGCCTGTCATTTCCTTGCAGCATGTCGATGAGTGGAATATTGGCGGGTTGAAGACCATCTTGGATTTGGTAGAAAAGGAGAGTGGAATCACCATTGAGGGTGTGAACACTCCATACTTGTACTTCGGCATGTGGAAGACATCCTTTGCCTGGCATACAGAAGACATGGACCTGTACAGCATCAACTACCTGCACTTTGGAGAGCCAAAGTCCTGGTAAAGTCAGCCTGCTGTTGGCACTGGGCTTCTCTCCTTGAATCTCCCTGGGAAACACCTTGGGTGTGGGTTAAAATGCAGATCCTGGTGCATCAGTCTTGGGTGGAACCAGCATTCTGCGTTTGAGACAGGTTATGAGATGGTTCTAGAGCCCGGACATACTTGGAGGAGCAAGGCTTTTGATAACAGGGTGGCACAGCACTGTTACACTGTTACGTGAAAGTCAGTGTTGGCTGAGTTACCAAAAGCCACAGGGCTGTTCCAGGCTGATCCACTGGTTTGTAACTTCTGAGGGGTTTCTTTGAGATAGGCTTCCCAGGCTAGAGTTGCTCTTTCTGATGATAGAAAGGCTTTTTCCTCATGGAAACATTTTTATTATTTATTTATTTATTTATTTATTTTTGGTACTGGGGATTGAACTCAGGTCTTTGTGCTTGTGCAGCAGGCGGTGAAACCACTGAGCTAAATCCCAGGCCCTTATTTTTTATTTATTTATTTATTTTGGTACCAGGGATCGAACTCCGGACCTTGCGCTTGTGAGGCAGGCGCTAGAACCACTGAGCTAAATCCCCCAGCCCAGTTTTTTATTTTTATTTAGTTTTTGGGTATCGGGGATTGAACTTGGGACCTTGCACTTTCGAGGCAGGTGGCGGAACCACTGAGCTAAATCCCCTACCCTAGAAACATTTTTTGATGAGTAGCAGTATGCTTTTTTTTTGTACCGGGGATCGAACTCGGATCCTTGCGCTTATGAGGCAGGCGCTGGGACCACTGAGCTAAATCCCCGGCCCCATTAGCAGTCAATCTTAGATCCAAGAGGCTGCTCAGCAAGTGTTTCCTGCTCTCCAGGACATTGCCAGTCTTGGGAGACAGATTGGTTCTGGTTCTGTTTCTTTCCTGCACTGCTCCGTCTCCTAGTGTTGGCCTTTTACTGAGGGTGCTAGCAGATGAAGGCAGATGAGAGGCAGATGAAATCTGCACCTTTCCACAGGGAGGAGACAGGAAGCAGGAAGTTGAGAAGGACAGTAGATGTGAGGAAAGCTGGGAAGGGCAAGCAGTAGTTGTTACACATATTCTCTAGGGCATCTGAAATGGGAGCTCCAAGCCAGGCTTGGTGTACACACCTGTAATCCCAGCACTCAGGAGGATTACCATGAGTTCAAGGCCAGCCTGGGCTACATAAGACCTTGTCTCAAAAACAGAAAAAAAAGGTAAATGGAGCTCCACAGACTTCTGTGCAAGGTTATCTGATGGATCCCAAAGCCCTTTAGGTGACTTTCTCACCTTTCTTCCTCTGTTTTGTTGCATAATGAAGCTATTTAGGATGAGAATTTTTTTTGTTTTTGTGGAATAATCATTTTCTTTTTTTTTTCCCCTGCACGGCGGGGGGGGTGGGGTGTCGGGGGTCAAACTCAGGACCTGGCCCTTGAGAGGCAGGCTCGGTGCCACTGAGCTAAATCCCCGGCTGGAATAATCTTTCTTGGAGACAGGCTCTTGCTGTGTTGCCCAGGCTGGCCTCCAGCACCTGAGCTCAAGTAGTTCCTTCTGCTTCAGCCTCCCTAGTCCTGGGACCACAGGCATGCACCACTGCAACTGGCCAAAGTAATCTTTAGGGTGGATTGTGAAGGTTAAAAGAATATAAAGTTTAACAGTTTTGCAAAAGTTTTAATAGTCTAGGTGTTCTTTTTCCTTGTCATTTTTTATGAAGAGCAGCTTCTGTGATGTCTAGACACCCTAAGGAGTGGAGGAGTAATTAATTACTGGGTAATCAGTTTAGCTTTTATGCAGATGAAGGAAAAGTGGGTTCAGTAGCAGCAGATTAAGGGTCAGAGCCTTAGGTGTCTCATCTGTCTCCACCTTGTTTTCCATGCTTGCTCTAACCTTCCCCAGTTAGGTCTTTGGGGTTGCTGGGAGCATTTTTGAAAAAGAAGTTGAGGTTATATAATGCCACTTTTTTTTTTTCTTTTTAACCATTTTATTACATGAACAGCATAATACAGAGAAAAACTTTTGTACAGTAAATTCTGGCTCATGGTGAATATTCAGTGAATGCCTTATTAAATGGGTGAATACAGAAGAAATAAATTTACTCACTTTTGTGTAGGTTTCTTACTCCTCTCCCCTAGCACTTCATCATTTCTCTGGATTTATTTTTAATAGTTGGGAACTTTAAACAGTATTTTAAAAAAATATATTTAATTTTTAGGGCTGGTTGTGGCCCACTCCTGTAATTGCAGCACCCTGGAGGCTGAGGCAGGAGGATTGCCTCGAGGTCAGCCTGGGCTATATAGCGGAGACCCTGTCTCAACACCCCCCCCAATATATATATATATATAAGGGGGGGGAGTAATTTTTCTTTGACCCGTAATCATCATACATATTTATGGGTACAATGTGCATTTTATTTTACTTAGTTTTAAATTTTGTTATATCTCATTCCCCCCTCAAGACCCCTCCCCTTCCTATGTACAAATGCTTGGCTTCCATTTTTTCCTTCTGATGATTTCACTGTTTTTCTTGTCTCTTTCTCTCTCCTTTCTCCCTTGTCATTTTATTTACTTACTTTTTGTTTTTTGAGATAGGATCTTGCTATATAGCCCAGGCTGCCCTCGAACTCATGGTGATCCTCCTGCCTCAGCCTCCCATGTGCTGGGATTACAGATGTGCACCACCATTCCCGGCTTCAGTGTGACATTTCAGTGGTCTGTGCCGCGTACAGTGATCAGCTAGCTCAGGGTGGTTGGCATATCCGTTACCTCAAACACTTAGCATTTCTTTGTGCTGAGAGTGTCGGGAATCTTCCCTGCTGCCTTTGAAGTGTCTTGCCAGTGGGAACAGCCCCTTCGCTCCTGTCCCTGTCCTCTCCTCACCATCTCTGGCTCCCATGTGATTGCAGGTACTCTGTTCCACCTGAGCACGGAAAGCGGCTGGAGCGTCTCGCCAAAGGTACCATTTCTCCTCCACATGTTGGGGAGGGGTCTCCAAGGAGCTGTGTTCCAGCCCCGAAGTGTCCTTTCTGTGTGGTCAGATGTGGTGTGGCCTTTCACGGGCCACCAGGAGGGACTGAGTGCAGCTGCAGGTCAGCTTCCATCACAGAGCAGCTACAGTCCAAGGCTTTATGTGCTCTGTCCGGGCAGGGATTTAGTCCTTCCTCCTCTGAGTGTCATCACCTAAGTCTCCCTGAGCTTGGGTGTCTTTGGCTAGGAAAGTACACAAGTCGTATCGAGTCTGCTGCTTCTGCTAAAGCCCCAAATGTGAATGTAAAAATCGAGAAATTGAGTTAGTATTTGAGTTTTTTTTTTTAAAAGTTGACTGTGATAGATTTGTACATTCAAAGAGTCTTATTTCGAGAAAGCCCAGGGTAGATTATATTGTAGACATGTTACTGACAAAAGGTGGCGGACACAGTCTGTGTAAGAACAGAGGGACCTTGGATGATCTCAGTCCCCAGGGTTTGATTACCCAGATAATGTTTTACCTGGGAGAGCCCAAAGGCTCACTGGAGAATCTTAGAATCTACCCAGGGCCAGAAGGCTCCTTGGAGATCTCATTGGTGATTCGTCCTCTTTATCATCCTGATGAGATACACAGGTGTGAAGGGACACTAAGCTTGCAGAGTCAGTGTATTAACTCCTGTTGTCTACTTAAACAGGCTTTTTCCCAGGAAGTGCTCAAAGTTGTGAGGCTTTTCTTCGCCATAAGATGACCTTGATCTCCCCTCTAATGCTGAAGAAATACGGCATCCCTTTTGACAAGGTGAGCTGATGTTACGGACACAAGTCCTCAGGCTTCCATAGAAACTGCCCTTTCTGGTCTTTGAGCTTTATTCGAGTTCTTCACTCTTTCCCTTTGATGTGGAGGGGGAGACTTCTCTAAATGTGGCTAGTGTGCCTTCCTACTGCTGGGGGAGAGTCAGTTCCTCCACACTGAGTTAATCTGAAGGAATGCTTAATTATAGCTGTGGTGTGCATGGGACGTGTGAGGCTTTGCATTTTAAACAAGATGGCAAAACCTCGGTGGTTTTAGAATTTATCCTTGGTTGCTCAGCTAAGTGTGATAGGTCTGGAGCTCAGGAGTTCGGTTCTTCTCTAGGCTTCTTCTGTGTGTGGAAGCTGCCTTAAGTCTATTTTTGTTCAGGTGACTCAAGAAGCTGGAGAATTTATGATTACTTTCCCTTATGGTTACCATGCCGGCTTTAACCATGGCTTTAACTGTGCGGAATCTACAAATTTTGCTACCCATAGATGGATTGAGTATGGCAAACAAGCTGTATTGGTAAGTTTATGTGGTAGTTTCCCATCTACCCCATGACTAAAATTGACTAGTTGAGCAAGTTCTTTTAATTTTTTTTGCCTGTATTGGGGATTTAACCTAGGGTCTTCACACTGAACTACATCCCCAGCCAGCCCTTTTTGTTTTTTGTTTTGAGATAGGGTCTCGCTAAGTTCGTTCCCCAGGCAGGACTCAAACTTGCAATCCTCCTGTCTTGGCTTCCCAAGTGCTGGGATTATAGGCATGTTTGATTGTGCCTGCTAATTGACGAGTGCTTGTTGAGTAGTACATTGATTGGTATTAAAACATGTCTTGAACTGCTGGAATTTGGAAACAGATTGGCTGGGAATGTATAAATTGTGAGTATTTTGTGTTCGTAAATAATTTAAATGTGTACAGGCATGAGCTGACCATGGTGGCATGTGCCTGTAATTCCAGCATTTTGGGAGGCTGAGGCAGGAGGGTCAGAAGTCTGAGCCCAGTTTGGGATATTTATCAAGACCCTGTTTTAAAATTTAAAAAAACTAAAAATGGGCTGGAAATTAACTCAGTACAAAGGCTCCCTGGGTTTGATCCCAGTACCAACGAAAAGTAAAAAAAAAATTTAAAATGTGTTTAGCTTTGAGAAGTATAAAATGAGGTTCTACATGTAAGTCCATTTGGCTTTAAAATCATACCTATGTACTAGTATTTCTTGCTGTAGCCATTCTGAGATTTCTGTGTTGAGAAATTCTTAAGGGTTTACTTTTAGCTGGCAAGTAGGAGAACTGGACCTTTGACCCAGAATAGTAGACTTGCTTGTGTCATCCTGACTTGGATAGATAACCAAGGGCAGGTGGCTGTTGACTCTTATGGGACCTAAGTGCAGAGCTGCATCTCTGACCATTTTGCACACATCTCCTTAGTGCCCAGGTGGCCTTGCCCCTGTGCTGTGCATTCTCTGCCCTTGGTTCCAGCTTCCTGATGTATGAAGGCGATGCAAGGGTAATACACAGTACCCTTGACCTGTGAATCAAAATAACTTTCCAAGCCAGCTTATACATTTTCTGCTTGGAGCGGGGAGATGCAGTGTGGGGGCGAGGTGGAAGCAGAAAAGGTGCCCTTCACCTGCTGGTTGTTTGTGACAGTGCTCCTGCAGAAAGGATATGGTGAAGATCTCCATGGATGTGTTTGTGAGGAAGTTCCAGCCAGAGAGGTACAAACTCTGGAAAGCTGGCAAGGACAGCACAGTCATTGACCATACTCTGCCTACACCGGAAGCAGCCGAGTTTCTGAAGGAAAGTGAGCTGCCACAAAGAGCTGGGAATGAAGAGGAGTGCCCAGAAGAGGACATGGAAGGGGTAGAGGATGGACAGGAAGGAGACCTGAAGAGAAGGTAGCAGGCATCCCTTTTTGGCCCTGGCTGCTGAGAAAGGGGTTGGGACAGCACCAAAGAGGCTGTTTCTAAGTGGAGTGTTGGAGCCACAGCTGAGGGAGTTTTCTTCTTGGTGTAGAGCCAGTGAGAGCCATTGCGGGCATGGCTTCCTTGTAACTCTTACCCAGGAATGAGGATAGTAAACCTGTAATCTTATGGAGCAAGGGGCAGGACTCTTCCTGTGTCAGAAAAGTCAAATTTCTCATCACCTCAAGAGTCTTTTTTAATTTTTATTTTATTTTATTTTTTTGATACTGGGGATTGAACTTAGGTCCTTGCGCTTGTGAGGCAGGTGGCGGAACTACTGAGCTAAATCCCCGGCCCAAGAGTCTTTTTTTAAAAAGGAGAGGGTGGTAGCAGGAACAAGACTCAGTTGTACAAGAGCTCTTGAGGGATATAAGTTGGTGTTGTCAGAATTTGTGTTCTAAGAAGTTTGTCCTAGGACATGTGCGAAAGACAGGAGGGACATTTATGGGGTACCTTGTGTGCCTTTTCTCAATCCTCACAACAAAACTTGTACTTTGCCCGTGATGGAATGACCTCAGAGAGGTAAAGTCCTTTTTGGGGGGTGGAGGGGTCACAGCAATGAGGTAGCCTGAGTTTCCAGTCAGGCATCAGGGCCTAGCCATTTGTTTTGCATTGTGTGTGGATGTTTTGATATGTGGGGTCTTATAAGGTTTCCCCTCTTCCTTATAGCCTGGCCAAGCATCGTATAGGGACAAAGAGGCACCGGGTTTGTCTGGAAATACCACAGGAGGTGAGTCAGAGTGAGCTCTTCCTCAAGGAGGAGCTGAGCTCTGGCCAGTATGAAATGACGGAGTGCCAGGCCACCCTTGCTCCCGTGAGGCCCACCCACAACTCTGTGCGGCAAGTTGAGGATGGCCTACCCTTTCCAGGTGAGTTGACCATGGTCATCACAATCCTGGTACTTGTCTGTTCTATGTTCAATGCCACATTGAGTGCAGGGACAGAAATAAGAAAAGAGGGAGCCATGTCTGTGAACTGACTCAGAACGAGTGTGAGACGTGCTCTGCTTGGGGATGTGCAGGGTACACTAGGCATTCAGGGAGAGGCCTGTCTTCCTGCCTGCTGAAGTATGGGGGTAAATGCTGAAGGCTTTGCTGAGGTGACTTTTAGGAGGTGGCCTGGGCAGTTGCAGAAAGGATACCTGTTATTTTAAGTTTGTTCACTTGAAGGCTTGAGGAGACATTTGTATTTTAAGGGAAAAGAGTGGTGCCAGGCATAGTGGCTCACACCTGTAACACCAGCACTCTGCGAGGCTGAGACAAGAGAATTGCAAGTTTAACCCCAGTCTGGGCAACTTAGTGACATATTGAGATCTTGTCTCAAAATTTAAAAAGGACTGGGCATATAGCTTAGTGTGAAGGCCTAAGTTCAGTGCCTAATACTGAAACAAACAAAAAAAAGTGTGGTGGTCACTCAGACCGTCATGTAGACTAGGTTTGTTAGGGAGGCTTCCCTTAGTCTCAGTCAGGCTTGAGAAAATAGGTTACTGATGCTGTGGTATGACTGCTGATGGTGCCACAAGGTATGTCTTCTGTCGGCCAGGTAGCTCTGTGGTCTCAGAGCCTGCCCAGGCTGGCTGCTCCTGAGCAGGCTTTCCAGCATGGGTGTCCAGGTTTGTGCCACGCTCAGGCCTGTAGGTCCTGCAGGAGAGCTCGGAGGAAGTGGCAAGCTCTGCTTGCTGAGTCTTACTGTGTGCAGGCTGTACCCCGTCTTGTACCCAGGAGTTGTATTGTACCTAGAAGTCCTGATAAGTGGTACTGTCCTCAGAAACAGGAAGGAGCTGGAGGCCAGAGACTTGAGGAGTGAGTCAGGATTTGAAGCTAGGTCTCACTTCTGTCCATCCATGTTCTTTGTGCTTTCCCACTCCATCTTGGTCAACTTCACATATGCAAGAGGAAATTGGCTGTATCTAATGTGTACGTTGTTTCAGATTACTCTGACTCCACTGATGTCAAATTTGAAGAGCTCAAAAATGTCAAACTAGAAGAGGAGGATGAGGAGGAGGAACAGGAGGCAGCTGCCCTGGATCTTTCTGTGAATCCCGCTTCTATAGCCGGACGCCTGGTCTTCTCAGGTTCCAAAAAGAAATCATCTTCTAGCCTGGGCTCCAGTTCTTCTCAGGATTCTGTTTCTTCTGATTCGGAAACCAGTGAGCCCCTCTCCTGCCAAGCTCAAGTGCAAACGGGAGTTCTTACTGTGCATAGCTATGCCAGAGGTGATGGCAGAGTCGCCGTGGGACAGCCGTGCATGAGGAAGAAAGGCAGTGCCCCCAGAAGTATCAGTGAGCGGGAGCTGGCTGAGGTACAGTGGGCACTGGGCACCTGGTGCAGGGGAGGTAGGCCTGTGGGTGGAGTTGCTGCAGCTGTCCAGGAAGCTGGGGAGACCCCCTTATCAGTGTCCCCAGCCCACTTTGGTTGTGTCAGACAGGAAGCCTGATGACATGCATGATCTTTCCCATCTTGTTCTTTGCCAGGCAGTTCCTTTCCTCTTCCTCTGTGTGACTGTTGGTACACAGGATTATCTCACAGATGGCTCACACTGCTTTGATGGAAGTATTGACACTCCATATCCATATTTTTTTTTTTTGGTACAGGGGATCGAACTCCGGTCCTTGCGCTTGTGCAGCAGGTGGCGAAACCACTGAGCTAAATCCCTGGCCCATATCCATATATTTCTAATGTTGCTGGTAGTCCTTGTTTTCTGGTTGGCTTGCCTCCCCCTTTTTTTTTTTGGTATGGGGATCGAACTCTGGTCCTTGCGCCCACAGGTGGCGGAACCACTGAGCTAAATCCCCAGCCTCCCCCCTTGTTTTTAATATTCACATACTTCTGTCTGCCTTCTCTGTGTCTAAGGGCTGAGTTTTTGTTAGAATTCTTTTTACCATGTGACTGTTCCTCCCTCCATCACACAGTGGTGGCAGGCTAATGAGGTAATAACCATCATGTTTCTTTCTCATTGCCTCTGATTGCTGCTCTCTGCCCTCTCATGGAAGTTTCCACAAGAGAGCCGATTTCAGCTTGTAAACTCCATCCCTTATGCTAGCAGCTGCCACCTGACAATTCTTCCTCACGAGCTGCCTTGTTCATCTTCTGCAATGCCACAGTATATCCTGTCCTGCTGTTGCTACATCTTCCTGACTTTCTTGCTTCAGTTGAAATCAGTCACAAAAGCAGCTGACAGGGACTTGCTGTATGCTAAGTACTTGGTCAGTGCATTACTGCTAAATTAATTGTATAAGACTAAAAAACTTTTTTGTTTTTTGGTACAGGGGATCGAACTCGAGACCTTGAGGTTGTGAAGCAGGTGGCAAAAAACATTTTTTTGAGAGGATGCAAAAAGCCAATAATTAAACCCATCTTTTTTCCTTCCCAGTTTGGACCCAGCTAAATGATAGGTACAAGAATGGGGCATAGAGAACCTAATCCATCACTTTATTACTAGTTAACATGATTGAACACAGTAGTTTTTAACCTGTGGCCAAATGGCCCTGGTACTTATTTACTCTCAATTGGACTGATGAACTCCTTGGTCCTAGGCAGTCCTTGATGTCCACAGGCCCCTTGTAGGGCACAGCATTTGCCACACAGCTTCTCTGTGGTGAGGACACAGACCAGAATGGGCTCCCTCTGCAAAGGGTGGGTCATGATTAAATGGTATCCATTTAACCATGGAGAAATGTGCAGGGAGAGGAGGCTCCTGCTCACCGCTCCCACCCCAGCCTTCCTGATTTCTTTTTCTTTCTGTGTGGACTTCTTAGCTGTAGCCTGGTGGAAATGCCCTTCTTAACTCCATCCCCAGCCACTCCTCCACCCCAGCATAGGCTGGTGGGTTTGTACTGCTTAACATTCTCCAGAAAGTCTTAGCTGTTTGGCCTCTTCATTCTCCTTTGTAATCATTTACTGCCTATCTGCTGTGTGCCAGGACTGTGACCTCAAGGAACTCAGAAGTCCCTTGAGAATATCATGGGTGATGTAGCACCAGGTGGAAGAGTTGGCAACTTAGCCTGTGGCAGGGCAGGAGGAGTTTGGGAAGACTGTAGAGGAGGAGGTCTTTTGACCCGGCCTGAGGTTAGTGTGCCAAGTGGATAGAATGAAAGTGGAGCAAGAATCTGGGAGAGGAGGGTGCTTCATATATTGATGAAAGCCCAGGCCAAGTCGAAAGCACATGGGGGTTTGCAAAGGTTTTAGTCTTTTTCTTTTGTTTTGTTTTGCTTGAGATGAGGCCTTACTCTAATTCTGCCTGGCCTTGAACTCACTGTATAGTCTAGTTTGGCCTTGCATTTGGGGTCATCCTCCTGCCTCAGCCTCGTGAGTGCTGGGATTATAGGCATGTGCCACCATGCCTGGCTTTCGAAGGTTTTAGTTTGTTTTGAGCATATAGAACTGGAAGCAGCCTTGGGACAGAGGCAGAATGTGCGGGGTCTGCCTCATATACTCAAAGAATTTCAACTTTAGGGTTGGGAGGATCTGAAGGTTCCTCCATCTGCATTTGGGAATTGAAAACCTCCATGGAACATAACACAAAAACGATAAGTAAATAATGGAAAATACTCATCACTTTAACAGTTTTCAGGATCTTGCCACGTTTGCTTCATGTATTCTGTTCTTATCCCCTGGTGTGTTTTTGTGTGTATGGTACTGGGGATCAAGCTCCAGCCCTTATTATTTTTTTATTCTGAGACAGGGTCTCATGAAGTTCCAGTCTGGCCTCAAACTTGTGATCCTCCTGCTTCAGCATCCTGAGTAGCTAGGATTATAGGTGTGGTCTGTTGTGCTTGGCTTGCAGAAACATTTTAAAGCAAAGCCTAGAGGCCAAGTTATTTTTTCCGTACTTTTTAGTATGTATTTCTAAAGGCAGGGGGATTTTATTAATCACAATGCTGTTATTACACCTAAAAAAATTATAAAAAATTCTTTAGCATAATATAAATATCTAGTCCATAATCAATTTTCCCCAGTTGTCTTAAAATATAGTTACAGTTGGTTTATTTGAATTAAATCAAAGCTCACCCCTTGTATTTGTTTATATCTCCTTCATCTTTATTTATTTATTTATTTATGTTCTTGGGACCAACTCAGGACCTTGTGCTTACAGGCTAGGAACCACTGAGGTAAATCCCCACCCTGCCCCTCAGATTATTGACTCACTCAAACTGTCTTATTTATTTATTTATTTATTTATGGTACCAGGGATCAAACTCAGGACCTTGAGCTTTTGAGGCAGGCAGCAGAACCGCTGAGCTAAATCCCCGGCCCTCAAACTGTCTTTTAAAGCTCTGTTTAGTGTTTTGGCAGTTTATTCTGGAAGCAGTGTTAAGATTTTTGGAGGGAGAAAGGAGGCAAAATTAAAAACATGTAACAGGTGGAATTAGAATTTTTACTTTCTGT